GTTCTCAGTGTATCCCACAGTATTCCTCATACTGTTCTCAGTGTGTCCCACAGTATTCCTCATAGTGTTCTCAGTGTATCTCACAGTAGTCCTCATAGTGTTCTCATTGTATCTCACAGTATACCCCTTTGTCCACATTTCTTTGTAATGAGTCATTACTCTGGTTCCAGGCCCCTGGATTCTTCTACTCTATCAATACTGGATCCTCATGGCGACTCCTCTCATATACTGTCTTGTAGTCCTGTGTTCTGGACATCCTGAAGCTATGGATCTGTAGGACCATCAGTTTGTCCATGGGAATAGACATTGGAGTGGCCCAACTCAAAGGCCTGTATTTGGGCCTGAGAGGTATCTGAGCTGATCAGGCTACCAGCTCTCCTGCTCTCATTCCCTCATAACTGGCTCACCAGCAAGCCTAGCATTAAGGGCAGCTCTACCCTGGTGCCCAGGTGAAGTGCAGGGCCTGCTCTATGGGGTGTTGTAGCCAGGGATGGACATTGCCTACTCTCATGACTGCAGGGCCAGCTCTCCTGCCTGCTATTGATGGATGAGGGAGGGGAGGACACCTCCCTGCAGACCAGATGAAACCCTTGTTGGCTCTTGGTTCTCATACCCTCAGGGCCTGCTCATCTTCAACCTCCCATTCAGAGTCAGCTCTACTGTGCTGCCCAGGCAAGGTTCAGACCATCTTAGGCTACCTCCCTGTATGGGTCCATGGCACCAGTCTGGTGGTTGGCTAGGGCTCACTCCTTTCCCAGTCCATTCAACTGGCCTCTTTCAAAGGCTGTCTATCTTAGGCTCACTCCTACTTAGGGCCAGCAGTGCCAGGCAGGCTTATTCTAGTCTCTAGACCTGGGAGCCCATCTGGGCCTGTGTGGTGCTGCTGGTCTAGTGGCTGTCTCAAGGCTCATTCTTTTTCAGGGAATCTTGGGCTACTAATCATTCAGCTGTTCATAGGTCAGAACACTTGGTGTAGACATAGCCTCTCTCCTCTCTCCCATCTGCTGGCATACACATATGCCACAACAGCCATATGTGCAACACCTCTATGGGCAGGTTAGCTCTGTTTTTGATGCTTTTAGACTGATGGGTAAAACTCAGGATGTCTGTCCTTAAGACGTGAAGGTTGACATTTGGAGACAGCTCTCTTTTTTCTCCCTCTCATTGATTATACAGCCAATCTTTCTAGGCTCCCCTTGTGGGAAAAGAGGGGATCACTGTCTGCTTTGAGAAGCTTTTAAACATTCTAACTGAACTGCCTTATACGGAGGAAACTGTGGATTTTATCCCATGCTCACTTGACTGCATTGCTTTTGGAATTGTGGCGAGGCATTGTGTCATGACCTTGAGAGCTCATGGCAAAGGATATCTGTTCATGTCATGCTGACACAGAGAAGAGGAGGCTGGGTTACAATGTCTCCTCTCTGAATTGTTTCTGAAAGTGTTTTTATAGTTTCTATTTTTCCCCTAAGGATTCAACAAGTGTTTTATTTTACAAAAGTGTATCTCTTTAGACCATTTGATTTTTCTTGTTTGTTTGTTTCAGAGAGGGTCTCACTATGTAGCCGTAGCTAGCCTAGAACTCACATTGTAGAACAGGCTGGCCTCAAATTCATAGAAACTTTCCTACCTCTGCCTCTTGAATGCTGGGATTAACTATTTGCCCTTTTTATTTGAAATCTTCTAATTAGGTCAGTGTATTAGTCAGAGTTCTTTAGAGTCACAGAACTTATGGAGTGTCTTTATGTATTAAGGGAAACTATCCATGAGGCTAGTTGTTTCAGCTGGTCTTCTGCATAAGGTGGAATCCTGAAGAAGTAGGTTCCAACAGATGTGCTGGCAAGTAAGCACAAGCAGAAGAAGAAGAGTGAGCCTTTCTTCTTCCACTGTCCTTATGTAGGCCTCCAGCAAAAGGTAAGGCCTAGATTAAAAGTATGTACCACCATGCCTAGATTTGGAACTTGCATTGTTCCAGGCTGGCATTGAACTCAGATATCTGCCTGCCTCTATCTCCTGGGATTAAAGGCATGTACCACCACCATGCCCGGTCCTAAGCTTTTCATGGCCACTATGCCTCAAGGTTCAGATCAAACCATGTGTCATCCTATATTAAGATCCAGATCAAAAGCCTGTGTCTTCCAGCCTCAAGATCTGGATCATGGGTGTGCCCTCCACTTCTGGATTGTAGTTCATTCCAGATGTCATCAAGCTGACCACCAGGAATCGCCAGCACATTCAATGTTCTCACAGTTTTGTGTTTTTCTATTTATGAAAACTATTTCTGCCTCCATGTATGCCAGGCACACACTTTACCAACTGAGACCCACCACTGATCCCCAGCCGTGATATTTCTGCAAAACTCAGTATAGTTTCCCTGTAAAATGTCTATATTCTAAGTCTGTTCATTTCCTTAGAGCATCACTAAATTTGCTCTTCTATATCTCGTATTTCTGAAAACCTAGAATATAGTTCTAAAGACTTGACAAGATCCAAGCTGAAGCCTCAGGGGAAACATTTCACATGTATTTTTGTATATTTCACAATATGTAATCTAAGGAGCACATGAGGTCATTGCTCCCCTAGTAATGGAGGAAAATTTGATCACTTAAGATGGCAGATCACTGGATATACTTTCCACTTTTAATTAATAAGCGGTTTGTGTGGCGACACTCTGTCACAGTATAGATATCTTACTACTCTCCACCTACTGATCTATTGTCTATTAACGATTCCTGCCTAAGTCAGTGATAATATTGTGGGCTAGAAAATTAAGTTTTTCTATTATAGAACCACTCTATATGTATTACCTAGAGTTCTTGTAAAGGAACACTTTCCTTAGTTCTCTATTCTTTTATGAACGTTATTATTGAATGATGCAGCTTTGGGTTCCCTCTCCCCGCAATCCCTGTCAGAGTCATAGTTTTTGATTCTCAGGTCACCAGATTTGGTTGGTGTGAGCAGTTTGAATCAGCTATGACTCTATCGATCTTGGGGTTCTCTTTTGCTTTCTGGTACAAAATGTTCCAAGAGCATCCTGTATTCTCTCTGACCACTCCTAGAGCAGCCATCTTCTTCCAGAATCCTGGGGATTTTACCTACATCTTCTTTTTCTCACTTTAAACACATCGAGGTCATCACTGTGTTAGATTCCCAACAGGTTCTCAGCCTTCTCATCAATCAGTGCTTGGCCAGCTTTCTGTTGCTTGTCACAAACTCTTCTTAACACAGCTTATCCTAGTACCTTGATCTCTAGGCACTCTGTGTGGCCCTAAGGAGTTCTTTCAGTCTTTCTCCATGCTGTCTCATTTGAAGGTCCTCTGAGCCTAACTAGAAAAGTCTCACAAAGCCCATGAGAAGCTGGTGGGAGAAGCCTTTGAGGGGCAGGACTTAGAGGAGGAGACGGTATGGCCTCCATGAGCTGGCGCATTAGAACTTCCTCTCCTCACTGCTTGGCTCTCACCACATACTCAAGGCCTGGCTGCTTTGTACTCCTCCAGATAGAGGGTACTGCACAGGGAATAGGGGCTATGTTTTACTTTGAAGTTCAAGAAATCGTTTTTTTAAAAAATAGAAGTAAAGAAAATAGAAGTGGAGGTTCCTATCCTAAATGTAAATGAAAAAGTCTATAAATATAATCCAAATATAATATTATAAGAGTATAATCCAAAGTAACATGTATGATTTAGGAATGCAGAGGGTAAAAATGTGTGTCACCAGATTGTGTGTGTGTGTGTGTGTGTGTGTGTGTGTGTGTGTGTGTGTGTGTTGGTAGTCTAGAAACTTTGAAGGGCAAGATTTAAATTCAAGGGGGGGGGTTGTTCTTTGTCTAAGGTTGTTTTGTTTTGTTTGGATGTATGGGGTGGTGGTGGAAAAAATGGCCCAGTAGCTAAGCGCACTTGCTACTCTTGCAAAGGACCCAGGTTCAGTTCCTAATGTTCACATGGCAACTCACAATTAATTGTCTTTAACTCCAGTCCTTGGAGAGCCAAGATCTTCTTCTGGCCTCTGTAGGCACTCCATGAGCATAATGTACTTACATGTAGGTAAGACACTTGCAAACATTAAACGACAGAGGAAATTCATTGTTTTTAGAATACAGAGACAGCTAATGAAGAGAAATAATCTCTTGTCAGGTAGAAAGTAGAAAATAGTTCTGAGAAAGCAGTTTGATTGCTGAAAGTCAAACTGAATTCTAAGTTTATGTAATGTTTGCAGATCCCACTAAAATATTCTATTATATATTATGTTATATTTATACAGGTATTAAGAAGCTGTCAGTAATTAGAAAAACTGAGTAGTTTTTTATATGCCATATACTAAATGTAAGAATAGACATGTAGAAGATATAAGGATGAAGACGATAACCAGAATCTTCCACCCAGACAGAGGTAAAGCCAAGCTTTATTAAAGATTATGAATAAAAGTCAGGGAAAGCAGCACACACCTAAAATCCTAGCACTTGTGGGGCAGAGGCAGAAGAATCAAGACTTCAAGGCTAGCCTAGTTTATATAGTGAGTTTGAATCCAGCCAGGGACCTTGTCTCAAAAAGAATAGAATGACAAGCTTAAGAACACAATTTCCAAATGAGCTGTAAATGGTCTCTAGAGAAATTCCTTGAGCTGTTGTTTTCTTGAATAAAACATGACATACCAAGGAAGGTTAAGTAGCCCATGTATAGGTATTGAAAGTTGCTCTGTTCTCCTGGTATGCATGTAATGGATCCAATGTAATGTCTGGCTGTAGATGTGATCAGAAGTGAGGTTATCTGGAACATCTTGGAAGAAAGATAATTACTTTTTACCAAATAAGGAAATGATCAGTTTTAATTCCTTGGGGGTTTAAGAGGAGAGGAGGAATGTAGGGTTTGAAGAGAAGACTTCAATGCATGCCAGGCTGTCTCCATGTCTTCCTAGGCCTCTGCCTCAAGGGGCCTGCCAGCCCCCCTAAGGTTTGGCTTGACTTGATTTTTTTGTGCTAGTCTAGGCTAACTCTTTCCTGAGACACAACACATTCAAGAGTACATACTTTAACTATGTATCTTTCACTACAGAATTATTGAAGCAACTTAAAACCCTAATGACAATAAATGTCAAAGGAGTTTGGGCTGTGGCCCAGTTTAATTTGATCACTCAGGCCTTTTGTTAGATACTGCTTTATAGTTCTCTGAAATAGCTGGTGGCAGTGGCAGAAGCTAGCAATCCAAGTTCCCAGGAGGCTGAAAGAGAGTGATAGCCCAAAGTTTGAGGCCAGCCTGGTCTATATAGCCAGTTCTAGGTTAGCCAGGGATATATAAGGGGATCTTTTGAAAAAAATTAATTGGAAAAATAAAAATGAATTTAAAAAACTGAAGGTTTTTTAGACTGGAGGTTTGTAGACTGGACACAATGTTACCATTAGCAGCTTGGACTCATTTCTCTGAGACTGACATTTGGTTATGACTCCCAGCTGCTAGAATTCCACATCTTTCATTCTGGAGTCCATGATGCAATAAAATAACCACTCAAAGGAACTTTCCTAGAGAGGTAGGAGGATTAACATTTCTAGTCCTTCACACAACAGTTTTAATATATTAAAGAATACTAACCAGCCTTGAGGGAATTGAAAGAAAGGGCTGTCCAAGGGCCTTCCCAGTCCCAGCTCTGAAATATTCAACCCGAGTCCCCTTGTAGGGTTTACTGTTGTGCAAAGCAGCCCTTGGGGGAAGTACAGGGTGCTGCCCTCCTTCAGGCTGCCTCTCCCTGCAAGGGTCTGCTCTGTGTAATTTTCTAAATTGAAAATACAGTCTTTTTCTCTCAACCGCCGCCTCTGAGGGCAGTATACTGGTAGTTCAGCAGTATGCAATGAGCTAAACCGCCTGTCAGTCTGTCACTATGCCACAAAGCAAAGGTCAGAGACGAGTCCCCACCATGACCCACAGCAGCTCTCAGGCCTTTCACAGCAGTCTATTGTGGAGAGCAGACACTTTAACATTTCTAAAGAAAACCAGAATTATCATTCCAATGAAAAACTGCCATATAAACAGACATTCTCTTATGATTCACTGAAGTACAGGTTTT